AAAACAATTCAAATAATCCGCTCCTACTAAATCGCTCGTCTCAATAAAATATTGTGTGAAATAAAAAGGTCCTAATCAGGGTATGAAAATAACCTGAACCGCGGTGTATTTTTGGACGCTGATTCCAAATCACCCGGTCGATGACGTAGTAAAAATGCTTCCCTAAAGAATTAGGGGCAAAAACTGTTTCGGTCCGGTCTGAGGCTACTGTTATGATTGCGGTTAAGGTTCGACCGGGATCCTGGCTTAATCCCGATGTCGGTCAAAAATCTTCCAATTATTCGTCCCCAATTAATTCGTTATTAATTAATCAATGAAACACTGTCAGAGTTAAAAGTGCCAGTTTGTTAGGTGAGATGTGCTTGTGCTTGTAATCAATAAAGGATACCATGGGGTTGTTATAGTGTCAGAGTTGGTTTTTTGATTGAAATAAATTTTCGTGCACATACAGAATGAATGGTTAATAATTTAATATATATGTAGACCAAGGTGAAAGGTCTGTGCACGGGATGCTTCCTGGAAGAATCCAGTTCTTTTAGCGGGGCACCCTACCTAAAGCCAAATTGAGATATAATAATCATATTCCTAAGAAATAATCAGAAATCGAATACCAATCAAATAATATGATATATATGAGTAGTAACCATATTTATTATGCAAAATGCCCCAACCACATATAGTGTAAATTTATATAGAATTCAATTCCATATCATCATTAAACCTCAATAGTCAATATAATAGCCCAGGCAAAATTAAATAAGCTGGTTTGTTGGGTAAGCTGGTTTGTTGGGTAAGCTTATGCTGTGTTTGTGCTTGTACATACTATTGTAATTATAAAATAGGTATTGTAATATACCTATAAAGTAGCGGATACCAGGTTTTAGTGTCAGAGTTAAGTGCTGCAGTTTATAATTATGGTGAGACGGCTTGTAATCAGTACAGCTATAAAAGGATACAAAAGTTGTTGTGTCAGAATCTGTAAATTAACACATGCTAGTATGCTACCCTACGCAATGTCCTCATCACCTGATCCGTCAGTATAAATCTAACTGGCTCTTCATTTGACTCCGTAACCATACTCTCGTCGTACGAGTCGTCTTTGCTCATATTGTTCGGGGTAATGTAATATAAACAATAAACAATCAGGAGGGAACTTGAACTGATATAATATTTCGTAGTTTCTGGCTCTTCAGTCGTAGTTGATCATCAAGTTGATTTCTAAGTTTTCCGGCAGGATCTGCTCAGTCAACGTTTTTCGTCACCTTGAAAGCCGGCCCACTTTCACTCGCGACTGAGAAAGGAGGTGGACACAGATAGATTCAGACAAGCTGGTTCAGATGTACAGAGAGTGATTTTTCCGACAGACCTCCAGGAGATTTCGTCTCTGGGGCTCCAGCTTGTCTTTCAAATATCTTGTAACCTTGTCCCTTATCACGTTGTTCAGATATTCGGACCCGTCTGAAGTACTGCGTAGGATCGCCAACAGTCAACGTTACGCCACTGGTTTCTTCCCTTCTCGATATCACTGTCTGCACTGATTCTTGTACTTTTTATTTGTCGGAAGCCCACCTCTCTTAGATTTGAAGGTCAGGAATTTTGGCGGTTTGAGATTGCTTTGTAGGTAAGAGTCACTCTGATTACCTTACGAGACATATTTAAAAGGTACGAAATTCCGGTGACCTAAATTTGATTTGGGACCGAAAATATGGGATTTCTTACCGAAAACCATCTCATTTCATACCCCACATTCAATCATGGTATTTAGAGATTTTTTTCATTTCTTAACATTTTACAAAAAGTAAAACCCAATATTATATGAGAAAATCAATTAAATAAAATGTGAAAAATTACAAGTCAATTTCTTCTTGATCTTCTGGTTCAGGGACGTTTCTCTCTCCAGTGTAGTCCCCTAGTTGAAATACTAGTGTTCATTTGTTAGTTGAATCATATACTGATAGTTAACTATATTGATAGTAAATCGACAAAGTCATAATCTAAGAAAATACGTGAAAATATGATGTTTTTTTTGTTTTTGGAAAACCACCGTATTTAATTTCGACCTTTTAAATATTTCTCGTAATTAGGTAACCACAGTGCAACGCCTAATCGGACTCCAATAGATTCGGATAAAAAATACAAGTAATATTTTTTACGCTAAAATCGAATGTAGAACATTCTAGAAATCCAATATCAACCAACTTGCTGACATAGTACATTGTTTAAATAGTATTGAAAACCATAACCATACTATCTTTTAGATTTATGTCACTTATGATGGCTCCGGCTGAAAGTACTATGACTCATTTTATCTAGAAGATCGTAGTTTCATTGCTTCTGAAGTAGCTATCAGTTCGCTGGTCTTGAATGTTGATTGTTGGGTATAATACTCTTGTATTTTTTACAGCCATGATCTCTGAAAAATACTATGTAAGCGAACCTATACCCCAATATTTGTTAGCCAACAGTACCACAGTATTAGCTATGCCCTGCCTACTAGTTTAGCTTTATCTCATTATCTGGTACCCTGCTATACAGTATACATGTTTACATATTAATTGCGTTTAAAACCCTCCAACATCTCCCCCCCCCCCACCACCCCCTTCTCCTGAGCGAGTGATTACTAAACATGTGGATGACCCCTTATTATACAAAGGATCATAGGTCGTCAGAAATAGCATACATTGATGATTGATGTACACGCTATATAATACACATTACAGTGTAAAGTTACACTGATCCAGTTCATCTCAATTGAGTTCACAGCTGCACTTTATCAGATTATAATTTCAGTCCACTAATATTTGCTTCTCTTAAATCATCTCATTGTTTAACATTTGACCATATTTATTTTTATATATTTATTAGCATAATTTACAGCCATCTATATCTCTGAGAAACACTATCAGTGAACCTACCCCAGTAATCAGTATTGCTGTATTGGTTAGCAAACAGTAACATGTTAAGCGTGTATTATAAACCATGTCCTATTCCCCCACCCCTTTTTCCTTAGCGAGTGATAACTAAATATGTGAATGACCCCTTACAAAGGATCCTGTACGTGCAGAAATAGTATACATCGAAGTACACAATCATCTGCACACTATAAAGTTACACTCGCTACAGTTCATCTCTCGGATTATTCCAGAATTGCGCGCAAACACACGTGTTGTCTCAAACAATGAAACAGTCTGTTTCATTGACATGTAGGTCGACACTCTCTCGTTGTGTACGTTTTGAGAACTTTTGTTTAGACTTTAGGGGCCATCTACTTGGGACATCCGTCAAAATTGCAGATTTTCAGACCACCCCCGGGGAGCACCCCCTCCCCCTGTCCGGGTGTGTCCGAATTTTCAAACCCCCTCCCCCGGACGTCCGGATTTCCAGCTACTTTAAAGAGTACAAATAAAACCAACTCAAATTCATTGTTAATAAAATGTGTAGTCACTTAGAATAGACAATAATACATTTAGTGTCGAACAAGTTTAGCACAGTTACATTAAGGTACTTAAGTAGGTAGCCATCCAATGGAATAAGTTTTAAGGCAGTAGCAGAATATGCGAGTTGTGTCTCGGCTCTCATGAGCTGCTCTGGGAAACGACTTCTCGTTCAAAATACAGGGATCTAAACTTACTGAGTAATTAGTGTCAAAGAGTTGAAATAAATGCGACTTTTTCGTTAATTCTGCCAAAATTTCCGGACGTCCTGATTTTCAGAAACCACTCCCTATCACTGTCCGGATTTGTCCGAAATTCCAAAACCACCTCCCCCTCCCTTTTTGCTGGACGTCCTAAGTAGATGGCCCCTTAATATTTTATTTGATGCAGAATAGCTGACAGCAGCTACAATTGTACATTTGACTCAGTCTTTCTGTGCTTTCATATCTTAAGTCTGATATTTACTTTGCTCCTAAACCTTCTTTTAGTTCTGACAAAGCAAGATTTGCCATGATACAGCGACTTTTTATGTCGTCATCGCTGCATAATTTAGACTTTAGAGCCAAGGTACTAAGGCAGATAGCTGATATTCAGGGCTCTTTCCCCCTAGACGATTTTGGAGCCCGCTGTTTGACAATATTTACACTGACAAAAATTGGTCGACTCTTTTATCTTATTCTCTCACATTAAACAACATTAACCAGGTTTATTTTTTTTCTAGAAATGACTATAATGTGACTATTGCATTGGATAGAGTTTTCCAATGGCATTGTTTTCTACCTATCTGACCTATGTTGAGTTTCGCCAAGACTTGACGGGACCATCACATCTTTTGACCACCCCAAAGTCTCACTCGTTGCGCCAACACAGCAGAGAGTTCGTGAGGAGGGGCCTATATCCCTGATCAGCGGCTTATCCTTTCGTCCACCACAACACTAACTCACACAGTAACTGATGACAATCCTTTCCAACTAATGCTCACTGAATTTATCCTCAACGCTTCTGTTGACACAGCATGGCACCAGGTACTCTCCCTTATTTTTCCCTATTTATTTTGTTGTATTACACAAGCTGAACTGGCTCGAGAGATACCCTTGATTTTTACACGTACCTCATTATTACATCATATCAAGTTTAAGTATGTTAAATTCGATTCTAATCGAAATAAAATGGTTAACATTTGCAAGATAGTAACATTTGTTTCACTTCAGGGACGGATCCAGTGATCCACTAACTTTTCCTATCAGAGATCTAGACGGACCTGAAAATAGCACCTCCTATACTCTGGTTAGAATTATATTTAGATTAAAGATTCAATATTTAACTGACTTCTAATTTATTGTCGAGAACCATGACCATTGCACTAGAATTTAAAACTTTAGAAGATTGAATAAAGTGTACCATCCCGAAGAATTAACACTATTATTGATTTCTCATACCAAAGTGCGATAACGCGCGATTTGTGATTACACATTAGTAATACATATCGTTGTATCGTGTATTGTGTAATAGTATCGTTAGAGTTGAATCGTTGCAAATTCCGTAGTTACCGCCTAAACAGTATCAAAAGATTGATCTAGAAGCTTTGACAGAGTTTTAGCTCTTTATGTCTGCCACATTGACTTTCTGATGAATAAAGGAAAAAATCGTAAGCCTTTTACAATATCTAGCGCCAGCCGGCCGCGCGTTATTGACATTGTGTAGACCCTTTGAAATTTTTTAAAGCTTTTAAAAACGGCCATTTCTTAGGATCGATGTCCTTAAAGTTAGTTGTTCAGATCATTCAGAGGTTATCGTTTAAAGTTTAGTTCAGTCTAAAAAAGAAATCTGAAAGAAGGTAAATATCTTAAACCTCAGCTGCTTTTCCTAATATGCGAGATGAGTCTGTCCGACCAAATTTTATTTGGTTAGCCGTCAGGGCAGAAACTCAGAATCTCAACGAATCTTTATTTAGTTGCTTATCTTAAAATCTGTTTCAGGTAGGTGATAAGGTGACGTTTGCAGAGCGGCGTCTATTAAATATCATACCTTTATGTTTGAAGCTGAGACCGGCGATATTCCCAAGTAATACGGCAGATGAAGACACAAGTTTTAGTAAGGGAGGGCTCCTGCAGAGATCAATTCACGGACGCTAATGTTGCCTTGAATTATAGTATGATAACCGACAGAGTAAGTTTGTATTATATGATTAGTGTTTGTGAAGTTAAGTTGTAAATCAAGTCGGAGGTTTTGTGATGTATAAGTATAATGTCTTGATAAATGATTCAAATTTCTGATTGTCTCTAAATAGACTTAGTGAAGACAGATTCTAATAGAAATAAATAGTTGAATAACGTATCGACATAACTACGTCATACTCATATCCTCAATAAATGTAATGGATTTGTAGTGTTGTAATTAGTTTAAGCTAAGTTAAAGTATAAGTGTGCAGATGATAATATAATAGCAATATAATATTGTGCCCAGACCCTCCCAGATCTGCCTTCAGCTCCATGTCGTAGTCAGGGATTATAAGGAACTCTATCTACGTATCCCTTTTCATTCCTGACCCTGATTGTTGTACGTAGCTGTGACTTGTAATCTTCTCGATTCTCCCAGTTCAATTTCATTTGAACAGCTTCAGGTAGCATTTAAACAACAATTGTTACATGTTTAAATCTGGAAATATTCTTCGATCGTACACTTCTCTACACTGTTTTACACCATACATAAAATTAATGGAAATAATTATCGGACTTTATTATTCACGGACCTTAATACCACAGACATTATTTTCACGGACATAATTATTCACGCTGAGGTCTTCAGTGTGAAAGTAATTTCCGTGATAATTATGACCAATAAGGTAGATAACATGCTTGTCCTTGCATTTTAGAGTTCCGTCTAGCACCAGTTCTATGTTGTTGACCATGATCTTTTGAGTCCTTGTCAAAGAGGACGGGGCAAATTTTGCAGCTAGGTCCATTACACCTCTGTAATTGTCCTACATCAAGGGTTTCCAGTTGTCGATTCTTTTCTAGTGTATTACCGATTGAAGGGTGTTTCCTAGTGGCAAATACTATCCGTACATCCCCACATAACATTAACCTAGTAGCTTAATGACCAGATTAAGTTCTTAACCAACTTTGTAAGACTAATGTTATCAAGAGTGTTGTACGGAAAATACGAGGCTCTGTTGTGTCTTATCCTCAGTGTCTCTGGTTGGATTTCCTGGGTTCTCAATAGACCTCTGTATTGCTTTCGGCTCGATTTCTTCTAGTTTGTCACCGTTGTTGTTGTGTCCGCATCTGGCAAGATCCTCCTTTAGTTCGCCCAGGTCCTCTACACATGGTGGGGTTGGAAACTACATATGTATCTGATCTCAAGTAGTTCCTAGCATCTGTTTCCTTTCTAAATAGCTTGTACCAGATCTGATTTTCTGAGTCCAAGCTCAAGGTAAGGTCTAAAAAGTTAACCTTGATTCTATATGGTTCTGCCAGTTTGATTTAGCCAGTTTGTTCAACAATTCGACAAACATTGTAAATTGTCCCGCTGTCCCCATCCACACTCCAAATATGTCGTCGATGAATCTCTCCCAAAAGTTTATCAGGGTCGCACTCTTTATCTTTTTGCTAACCTTTTTGAAGAGCAACCAATGCATAGTAACGTCTGACACTTGTCTGGAGATACAGTTTCCAGTAGTAGGCATGAGGCAGGGAAAATTAGTGTGTGACTGATTTAAGCAGTTGGTCACCAGAGTTCAGTTCGAGTACTAATTTTAAGGAAATTAGTGACGTTTTATTGCTAATAAAATTGATTTGAATTCACGTATTTTTGTTGACGTTAACAAGGCTCATACTTCCCCCTCCTGTCAGCAACCGTCAGCATTTCCAAATACCATTTTCCCTCGGCTGCTGACGTCATACATGAACGCTCGCTTATGTTAGCTATACATTTTGTAACAGCAACATTTACATTGTATTATGTATTATATTGTATTATGTAATTACATTAAATGACGGGTGGGCGACAATTTACCCCCCGACAATTAACCCCCGACAATATAATTTAATACAATTAACCCTGACCCTGACCCTGACCCTGACCCCGACCCTGACCCTGACCCTGACCCTGACCCTGACCCTGACCCTGACCCTGACCCTGACCCAGGACCCTAACCCTAACCCTAACCCTGACCACTGACCACTGACTCTGACCTTGACCCTGACCCTAACCCGATCAATTGACCCAGTGTAGTTACATGGGGGTCAATTGTCGGGGGGTCAATTCACAATTGTCGCGGTACCTAAATGACATGTACTTTTTCAGGATCAAGTCAAAGTCAGGCCTGCAGCGACGAGCCCCTTTCTTTCGGATTGTGAAGTGTAATGTTAATGTTTAATGTAGCTGTTTAACGTCGAAAATTGTTAGTTTGTAATTGTTTTTGAGAAGCAAAATAATTAATCTGAGAAGTGTTTCCAGTTTTATAAAGCTCAGGCATGGGCACCGTATTGTTTATTTAGTTATATTTTATACAATATCTTTGACCTTTGTCGCATTAAGTTGTAGTACTACTACTAGTAGCGGGGTAGTACTAGTAAATACCGAATACTGTGTTTCGTTTATTCTTTAAATATATAAATATTGCATTGTGTATCTTTGTCGCATAGTACATAGTATAAGTTGATAAGTAGCGAGGTAGTAGGGTGGATGGTTTTTTAATCGTATTTATGGAATTGTTACCGTTGTAAAACTTACATTATGACAGTTCAGATGGCGAAAGTTTTATCGAAAATGGACCTGTCATTGTTCTGGAAATAACAATAATAAACAATAATATCTATGACCAATTTAACCATATTAAGAAATGTGGTCGGTGATCCAGTATTGAGCATATGTGCAACTGTGTGAGTTCAGTATTCTAATTGCCCCCTTCAAGCAGCTAAGGTGCGTCTTACTAGCAGTCATGTGACCGAGATCACGTGATAACACCTTTAACTAACTTATTGCCCTGAGGATCAATTGGTACAATGTGTATTGAGGTAAATTGGTCGGGGTATGTTTTATTATATAATATCAGTATTTACACTGAAACATTCAATAGCTTTCCTTAGCTGTTGGAACAGTGAAAGACCAAAATATTAGATGTTAACCCTGAGCAAATTGTAGCTTGTAGTTGTACATTTAATATAATCAATAATACTACATACTACCTTGTCGGACTTTATTTAAACGGACTTTAGTTCATAGTTGGATGCTATAAGCCCAAGTTTACAGTTTACACTGCACAGAATACTCTATAGTAACACGGTACACTGCACAGAATACTCTATAGTAACACGGTACACTGCACAGAATACTCTATAGTAGCACGGTACACTGCACAGAATACTCTATAGAAACACGGTACACTGCACAGAATACTCTATTGTAACACGGTACACTGCACAGAATACTCTATAGTAACACGGTACACTGCACAGAATACTCTATAGTAACACGGTACACTGCACAGAATACTCTATAGTAACACGGTACATTGCACAGAATACTCTATAGTAACACGGTACACTGCACAGAATATTCTATAGTAACACGGTACACTGCACAGAATACTCTACAGTAACACGGTACATTGCACAGAATACTCTATAGTAACACGGTACACTGCACAGAATACTCTATAGTAACACGGTACACTGCACAGAATACTCTATAGTAACACGGTACACTGCACAGAATACTCTATAGTAACACGGTACACTGCACAGAATACTCTACAGTAACACGGTACACTGCACAGAATACTCTATAGTAACACGGTACACTGCACAGAATACTCTATAGTAACACGGTACACTGCACAGAATACTCTATAGTAACACGGTACACTGCACAGAATACTCTATAGTAACACGGTACACTGCACAGAATACTCTATAGAAACACGGTACACTGCACAGAATACTCTATAGTAACACGGTACACTGCACAGAATACTCTATAGTAACACGGTACACTGCACAGAATACTCTATAGTAACACGGTACATTGCACAGAATACTCTATAGTAACACGGTACACTGCACAGAATACTCTATAGTAACACGGTACACTGCACAGAATACTCTATAGTAACACGGTACACTGCACAGAATACTCTACAGTAACACGGTACATTGCCCAGAATACTCTATAGTAACACGGTACACTGCACAGAATACTCTATAGTAACACGGTACACTGCACAGAATACTCTATAGTAACACGGTACACTGCACAGAATACTCTATAGTAACACGGTACATTGCACAGAATACTCTATAGTCTATAGTAACACGGTACACTGCACAGAATACTCTATAGTAACACGGTACACTGCACAGAATACTCTATAGTAACACGGTACATTGCACAGAATACTCTATAGTAACACGGTACACTGCACAGAATACTCTAAAGTAACACGGTACACTGCACAGAATACTCTATAGTAACACGGTACACTGCACAGAATACTCTATAGTAACACGGTACACTGCACAGAATACTCTATAGTAACACGGTACACTGCACAGAATACTCTATAGTAACACGGTACACTGCACAGAATACTCTATAGTAACACGGTACACTGCACAGAATACTCTATAGTAACACGGTACATTGCACAGAATACTCTATAGTAACACGGTACATTGCACAGAATACTCTATAGTAACACGGTACACTGCACAGAATACTCTATAGTAACACGGTACACTGCACAGAATACTCTATAGTAACACGGTACACTGCACAGAATACTCTATAGTAACACGGTACACTGCACAGAATACTCTATAGTAACACGGTACACTGCACAAAATACTCTATAGTAACACGGTACACTGCACAGAATACTCTATAGTAACACGGTACACTGCACAGAATACTCTACAGTAACACGGTACACTGCACAGAATACTCTATAGTAACACGGTACATTGCACAGAATACTCTATAGTAACACGGTACATTGCACAGAATACTCTATAGTAACACGGTACACTGCACAAAATACTCTATAGTAACACGGTACATTGCACAGAATACTCTATAGTAACACGGTACACTGCACAGAATACTCTATAGTAACACGGTACACTGCACAGAATACTCTGTAGTAACACGGTATGACGGTACACTGCACAGAATACTCTACAGTAACACGGTACATTGCACAGAATACTCTATAGAAACACGGTACACTGCACAGAATACTCTACAGTAACACGGTACACTGCACAGAATACTCTATAGTAACACGGTACACTGCACAGAATACTCTATAGTAACACGGTACATTGCACAGAATATTCTATAGTAACACGGTACACTGCACAGAATACTCTATTGTAACACGGTACACTGCACAGAATACTCTACAGTAACACGGTACACTGCACAGAATACTCTATAGTAACACGGTACACTGCACAGAATATTGTATAGTAACACGGTACACTGCACAGAATATTCTACAATAACACGGTACACTGCACAGAATACTCTATAGTAACACGGTACACTGCACAGAATACTCTATAGTAACACGGTACACTGCACAGAATACTCTATAGTAACACGGTACACTGCACAGAATACTCTATAGTAACACGGTACACTGCACAGAATATTCTATGATAACACGGTACACTGCACAGAATACTCTATAGTAACACGGTACACTGCACAGAATACTCTACAATAACACGGTACACTGCACAGAATACTCTATAGTAACACGGTACACTGCACAGAATACTCTATGATAACACGGTACACTGCACAGAATACTCTATAGTAACACGGTACACTGCACAGAATACTCTACAGTAACACGGTACACTGCACAGAATACTCTATAGTAACACGGTACACTGCACAGAATACTCTATAGTCTATAGTAACACGGTACACTGCACAGAATACTCTATAGTAACACGGTACACTGCACAGAATACTCTACAATAACACGGTACACTGCACAGAACACTGTTCGGATATATTGTACACAATATAGTCAAACTGTACGGAGATTGTACCTAATATAGTCACACTGTTCGGAGATTGTAAAACGTCTGCCCGAGAATTAGGTTTAAAATACTCTAAGGTGAACCTTTCTCCGAGATCTGGTTTTAAAACGGTACGAGATAAATTTCTGCGGTAAATTGTAAACTTGGGCTTCTAGCATCCAACTATGAACTAAAGTCCGTTTAAATAAAGTCCGACAAGGTAGTATGTAGTATTATTGATTATATTAAATGTACAACTACAAGCTACAATTTGCTCAGGGTTAACATCTAATATTTTGGTCTTTCACTGTTCCAACAGCTAAGGAAAGCTATTGAATGTTTCAGTGTAAATACTGATATTATATAATAAAACATACCCCGACCAATTTACCTCAATACACATTGTACCAATTGATCCTCAGGGCAATAAGTTAGTTAAAGGTGTTATCACGTGATCTCGGTCACATGACTGCTAGTAAGACGCACCTTAGCTGCTTGAAGGGGGCAATTAGAATACTGAACTCACACAGTTGCACATATGCTCAATACTGGATCACCGACCACATTTCTTAATATGGTTAAATTGGTCATAGATATTATTGTTTATTATTGTTATTTCCAGAACAATGACAGGTCCATTTTCGATAAAACTTTCGCCATCTGAACTGTCATAATGTAAGTTTTACAACGGTAACAATTCCATAAATACGATTAAAAAACCATCCACCCTAGCGAGGTAGTTACTGGGCCGCGCTCAGCCTGTCATTCCGCCAAATCTTTAATGTTTATGAACATAATAGCCTGGGGTCCCCAGGTTACGAGGTAGTTAATACTGTTTCGTGATGTATTTTGATCGTACAATCTTAATTATTCGTATTATTATACCGCAATTCCTGTATTTTATCGTCTAAAAGTGAACAATACCAAATTAAAATAAACAAGAGGCATTTATAGCCTTCGATAAGTATAAATAATCGCACACTATGTACGTGCACCCGGGGTTAAATACGACGCAATTGTCAGCACTGCGCGCGCGCACACGTACCATCTTATGTGTGCTGATCTGTATGTGCCTATCCTACTTGTGAAACAAGCGCGTCACGCAGTACGCGTAGGCACATGGCTATGTGAAATGTAAAACATAAATTTGAAATGCATGTGATAATATTAATTTTTTAAATTGTCAACAAGAAAGTTTTAATGCTTACATGTTACACACATTATAAGTTTACAACCTACCAGGACGCGCGCCGAGTTGCTCTAACCAGAGCCCTCTCGCTTGCAGTAGCGCGCGACCGCCTTGTGAAACAAGCGCGTCACGCAGTACGCGTATACACATGGCTATGTGAACGCGCCGAGTTGGACTCGTCGACGGTCCAATATATGGAACAGATATTTTACGAGTATCACCCGTTAATTACACACACTGCAAAAAGAAATAAAAAACACTTTACAAATGTAATGGTGGCAGTTGAGTATAGTCTGGGCAGCGCCGTTCATCAAATGCATCAACAAGCGCGCCCACAGTGGTGCGAAAGCACATGGTTAGGTGAATACACAATTAACGGGTGATACTCGTAAAATATCTGTTCGTCGACGAGTCCAACTCGGCGCGCGTCCTGGTTAGGTAGGTTGTAAAGTGTAAACCTACAAATACACAATTACAATCTGTGCAATATCGTAACATTACTTGACTTTCGCCGCTACAATGTCAAATGTATGAACTGAGAAAGACTGATCACATAGTTAATTTAAAAGGTAATTACGCAATTCAAAGCAATTAAATGACGCGGACGTCCCATAATACTTATTGAATAAATGATAATGAACCAGTATCTATATTTTGTATCACGTTCGATCGTGACCCCCTTTGTCGGTTCACTTATATAAAATACTGTAAGTATCGTGGCTACAATACATGAGCCACGCACTCGTGCGCGACAGGTCTACAACGTATTACAAGCTATATTGATTTAAACCGCAATATCGCTTGTTTGCACTCAGTTAAATTGTATGTTGTTATATATAGGAACTTAACTGTGAACAAGTTTCAATCAGTATGTACATATAAAATAAATTAAATAAAGAAATGCAATTGGCAGAGTACAATCGTAAATCTGGAGCAATAAATATCATGCCTTGGGCTAATTATATTTCGAGAAGAAAGCGGCGCGCGCTACTTCGAAGAAATTTAGACGAGAATCATCCGTCAACAGTTGTTAGCAATATTTTAATTTTTATTCAGTCAGTTGTATAGAATTTTTTCTTTTTGATATTCACGTTAAATACAGTTTGGAGGACTTCGCCGCTTCGACGCGCCGCGCAAACTACGCGCGAATCATTCTTGATTCGCATCGAAGGGACAAGATCGTTGCGATGCTTCGCAGAGCAACGATCTGGAAGGGTTGACATCGTCAATCAAAATACAGTTTGTATTATGATAACAGTTTAAACATTTTCTAATAGGCTTTTTATTTTTGTTCATAAAAAGGATTGCGTAGATCACTGCTCAGTTACAAAAATTTAGTTGGTTGGTTCTAAAGTTTTATCTGAGAGCTCAAATACCCGTTAGGTTAGTTATATTTAGAGAAAACATTTTCCCCCTAGTTGAGGAATAAAGCGAACAGTCTGCTACGACAGGTGTTTAATTTTTATCAAAAAATTGTCTTTTCTTAGTATATTATATGGTTCAATCAGCTTTTTGGAAAAATACGACGATCTGGTGGTTACACTAGATTGACATGTTTTCATGATACCGGTTCTTTGTCAACTTGATAGTATTCTTGATAACATCACATTCTCATTAGTACCTTTTCTATGTGCTTAAGACCGACGGGTCAAATTTCAGCTAACGTGCGAAAACTAGTGTGAGACTAGTAACTCGATTCCATTTGGAGACATGTCCTGAAGTCCCACAATGTGCTATTGCCCAGTGTGCTACTGTATGACTTTGTGCTGGAGCCCATCCTCAGATTATATTATCTGAAAGGTTCATCTCCTCTGGGGGCTGATTTTAGTCTTAACATCACCCTTCTTGGCTTCATTGTTTTCCACCATTGTCATGATTGTTTTGTTTTGTTTTCTTGTCAAAATCTTTCATAAGAGAACATGAGTTTTCTAGAGGCTCAGTACGCATTGCTTTTGATCCCTTATTTACACATTATCCACCTATCTGTGAAAATCATCCATTTAGTTTAAAAGGTCATCGTGAGCAAAAAAGGGAGGAAGCCATTCCTTAAGTAGTCTATTGACCTTTTTTAAAAGTTATTTGATTTACAAAATGTTGTTAACCTTTTCCTGGAACTTTAGTGAAGTCAACCTGTCCAAATCTTAATATAACAACGGTTCCTTTCCCTTGTCTTGCATCTAAAAATTATCGAAAATGCACAGCTTCAACGATCGTGTAATATCACTGTCCTAGAAATTTCATTTAAGTCATTTTCATTGTTCTCTGCTTGACTTTTCTAGGAAAATACCTCTAAAGTCTGGCCTTTCTAGGAAACTATCTGAGTCCAACCATGCTGGGAAATTAATGTTTTTGCCAATTGATGGGCTACAGCATTAGACAGAGAATGATCATCAACTTTGTTAATTGATGATAAGTGCTCACCATTGGACTGAAGTAATATTATTATATATGGACTGAGCTGACATAATATTTGGATTGTGTAAGTGGTGTTTCCAATGTGAAGTATTGTTTTTTAGTTGCTAGTGAAACCCAGCCTTTCCACAGTATGGTGGAATATTGGAGATATTATTAAATCAAAGTTCTAAACAAGGGATAGTTAAAAAACAACGCCCGAGTCTAATCTTTCCCTAAAACAAAAACTAAAAATTAAAAACTTCATTGCAATTTCCGTCAATATCTCTTGTCATAACTCAAATTACGGAGATAATGCAGGTCAAAGATATTATTCAAATAAAGATTTCTTTTACATAAATCATGCACAATCAGCGAGAAAAGATTGCTTTGGGGTCTTCCTCTTCTCCCTGGTAAGTCCAGTGTATTGATGGCAAAAATGAGGGAAGAAAACGCTGGTCCGTCAATAGGACCCCGCAAAACATGTCCTAACATTCTCCATCGACTACGGGCCACTTTTTCTGACAATGGTTCAGCATTGCAGCGTTTATACAAGTTTTTGTTGGAGATGACTCCTGGGTACTTTATATTCAAAATAGTGCGAAGATGTCTGCGGTGAACAACATCTAGTTTTTCAAGGAATATTTTGGGGACGGCCCAACAGGATCGGATGAGTTGTACATAAGAACCGATACGACTAAAGCATTATACAGTATTAGACGGAGATTGGAGATATTCTCGCTTTTAAACACTTGCTAAAAGTTATTGCTGAGGTTTTCTGAAATGTTTTGCTGAACCAAATTTAACTGAAAACAGCAAAAACCCCAACCCAATTGAATTGTGTTTGCTTGGATCTGCTTATATTTGGAAACAATTGACAGATTAAATAAGTTTGCTTTCTGTTCATATTCATTCTGTTAGAACTGTTATAATCACACTCTTATGCTTTGAATATGTGAATTGCAAAGTCATGCATAAACTTGTTGTCTGTAGTAACTAAAATATTTTCTAGAATGAGGATTAGGAAATTGCTGTTCCTGATTGTTCTGCAAGGAATCTGTATAAGAGCAAGATCTAGCAGAAGTGAAAACACCCATAATGTGCCAAAGTTTGGAAGACAATTTCTCAGTAGATACTCCCTACCAGGTAGATTCTTTACTTCTTTATAAGCTCTAGAACTAGACTTGTCTATCAATTAAAGTTTCTTTGATAGTTACTTAAAGTTTTCTTTTAAGTTTTCTGTTAGATTATATAAGTCATTGTATAAGTAAATTTAATTGTTTAAATTTTGTCTATTCCTCAGAATTAGGTGAAAGTGTGTGTACTGTTACGGAAGAAGTGGTTTCTTTGCAACAGAACTGCGTTGACTGTTTGAAAAATGTCAGCAGTGTTCTACTTACTGAAGAGGGCAGCAGAATGTACATAGGAGCTAAATCTTTGTTGCTTTCTGTGGACATGGACAAATGTGAAACAACTAGCACTGTAAGTTACAAATTATCTACATTGTGAGTCAGGCACGCTTATTATATATTTTATTATTTCATCAATCATGTAACTTCTATTCTTCCGTCAACCATATGGGACCTCAGTCCCTTACGGTGCAATTCCCAGAATTACATCATACTAGAACTCATTTTAATGTTCCTAACTCTTACAGTTGGAGTATGCATCATGATATATTACATCATGCCACAAATATAGTACACACTGGTCACACTCAACCAACTTGAATGATCGGTTTGGTTGTAAAGTTGGAGCTGATAAACAGTCTGAAATCTGTTTTGGTGAATAGGATAAGAAGCTGATAATTAGTTGTTTTTAGTACCTGGTCCCTCTTCTTATTTCCATGATGTAACCCATTTAATGTGATATCATCGGTTGTTTCTGGGAATAGGGATCGAAGGTGTTATAAAAAGAGCCATTAATGATCGATACTATACTAGTTGAGAATTCTCCTGTAAAATGTGTAGACCTACTTATTGACTTGCAAGTTTCAATTGATCAACCGATGGGCGATGATATCATATTATAATATGTTGGAAGAAATTCCTTATCTGACAAGTTGTCTTTAGGTCACCCATTCACTAAACAAGAAACTGATTAGCATTACTTCAATGCTTATCAAGGACTTGATTGGTCATAAACGGTCTAATCTGTCGTATCTTGCTTACGAGTAATGAGTTTTAACAGTTTTTAATGAGCCAGTTAAGAAGATGTTATTTAACGACACGCTTATTTCGTAAGCAAGAATGTTTGCAACAGAAAACATGCAAGATTTTTAGATCTTCTGTACAGTACACTGTTTACTTTAGATCGTCTAGCATCAAAACTCACAATGGTAACTCGCACGACTATTACTTTATGTTACAGTATTCGCATACCATGCAGGAAAAGACAGGAGCCACTACTTGAACAGTACATGTTGTGTAAGTTCACAGAGCAGCCCCCTGGATTACCACTCAGCTGTCTCATGAATATAAACACATCGCCGCCCCACACATGTTACAGCCCCACAGGGTACCTCGCTACTCTCCACCATTATTATAGGCAAGGCTAATTAGCCTGCAACTATTTCTGCAGAGAGTCCTCCACATTCCGAACATTGTACATCTAGATTCTAGACATCTACATAGAATGTATTGGAAACATGTGGGCTACTGATAAGTGGAGAGAGGCAGTGCACAGTAAGCATGTGCAGTAAATGTTACAGTATGTTAGGGGACCAATGCAGTGAAATGTTACAGCTTATTAAGACAAATAATACGTTATGTTAGGACCAGTTTAATAGGGGGGAGCTTGTTAGTGTACCTCTCAGAAAGCAGTTAGGCACTGACTTTAGTCCCTCTAATAAACCCAGACATTGACCATGTTAAACTGCAGAGAGATATTTACCAACCCTTGTTAAACCAATACCAGGTACCATCGGTAATATCACGAACAGTTACATGCATGTTTATATAACCCAGCGTGTAGAGTGTCAAGGTAACGCATACCACTGTCATCATACGTGTACCTTAATTATTTAACCATTCTTACACACAGTTCACTACTGTCATGTGCCCCTGTACTATTTAGTGTACCTCTTCACAATAGAGTATTGTATATATATACACAAATATGTACAGTACAATGACTCATGATGAAAAGTTGAGGCCCTTTACACGCTGTTCGGGACGGTTGCAACTCTCGTAAAACTCTCATAAAACGCATTGTCATTGGTTACACACACACACACACACACACTATTCAACACACTGGTTTATATACTGGCGGGTCAGCGGCTGTGGTTAACTAAGAGACAAGTTTTTGGCGCTCCATGTTGGCCTCCAGAACGGTGATTGGTGCTCCAAGTGTGTGTGTGTGTAAAGAGGGTTGTTGAGCGGGAATAAGAACAATGTCCCTCCTCATCACACATCCAGATGGTTCTTTGATAATGGTCTGCGGCCCTTTTCTCTCTGCAGATGTTGGACAGTGGCCAGGGGGCGGCGGTTTGTTTGTACATTTGTACACGTGTACATGTGAGAGTGTGTGAGTGTTAGTTACTATTCCAGGTTCCCATGTGATTGTATTGTAGGGTCCTGTGAGGTTGTACTCATTGTTACTGTGCAGTATTCACTGTTTGATTACTTGTTAACTACTAAGTTATAGACTTATACCCCACATGCAATAAGCAAAATCTACAGATCTAAATCTAATCACGATGAGACAATCACTATCTCATCTCTAATAACACTCAAACTACACACGGTCACACCTCTAATTAAAGTAAAGAACACCCCTCATAACACTCTATTTCACCTCATTACTGATAAAACAGCCCACTACAAATGTACACCAAGATTAGCTCTGTTTCTGCTGGCTCTGTGTAGGTTAAGATAAGGAGTACAAGTGTTAAGTTTCCAATGTTCATACTACTCTGCAACACAATAAAAACGTGATGAATGGGTTATATGGGCTAGGTATTACATCACACTACCGTCAAAAGTTCCTACTTTTTACTAACTCAATTGGCGAGATAAGGTTAGAGTATCACAGGAACGCCCTGTTAATGACAGATTAGTAAAATCTAAGGTTAAGATACTCCTTCAGACTTACATGCACGGAGTTTAACAATTAACGGGCTTGATAAGTCAGAACTACAGAGAGCTCTAACTTTTGAGAAACTCTTTGATTTATCTAATCATCAAATTTGAGCTTCATTTGGTCAGACTTGAAGGAAAGATTTAATTGTTGGAGTATGCTAACTCCTAATCCTTATCTTGGGTTTCAGTTCTCCAGCAAACGACACTTCTGGGTTTCATCTAAATCGAGTCATTAGGGATCGACTGATATTACCATTACTTGGGGACGAGGAAAATCATATTAGAAACTGGACGAATGAATAAATCACTTAAATTCACATTAATTAAAGTGTTCATTTGCTGAGTCAGGAGAGCTGGAGAATAATGCGATGAGTAGGGGGGTATAATGTGATTCTGTCTCTTAATACATGAAATACAATGAGCGGTCGGGTGCCAGCATTTAGTGTTTCCATGGTTACCACCTCAGCTAGAATAGATTGACGAGCTCTGCCCTCACTTGTCTCTCGTGAAGAAACAGCAAGTTAACATGGAGCTTGTTAGATAGTTGGAACGAAGTTGTTAAATTGTGTAGTCAGGCTGTTTATTGCAAAGTTCTGGCGAGGCTGTTAAAATGAAGGCTGTGCTATTTAGGGAGCACTAATGGTCTCGTTAAACTGTTGTAATATATTCCCGACTATTACTTCCTCTCTCTTTCAAGAGAGAAATCTCTCTCTCTCTCTCTCTCTCTCTCTCTCTCTCTCTCTCTCTCTCTCTCTCTCTCTCTCTCTCTCTCTCTCTCTCTCTCTCTCTCTCTCTCTCTCTCTCTCTCTCTCTCTCTCTCTTTCTGGAGACAACACCAATAATACCATGGTCCATAGTTCGTGTTTGGTTAAACTCACAAAATATAGCATGTCTGTCATGCAGTATGTGCTTTACTAAGTGAGAGGATATTATAACTACCTCTCATAACTAACAGATACAAACTTGAGCTACACCGAACATCTAACATTTTGAGTTATCAACTCTGTCAATAACTTATATAATCTAGCTGAGTTACAATGCCATCTAGCTAACTTCAGTATGCACCAATGGTAGGGTGGCTACCATATCTATTAGCAGCCTGTCGAACATAAAGAAGACTGTTTCCCCGTTTTCCGTAGAATTTCTATAAAGAAGAAGTCACAATTTTGCTGTCCGTCGAGTATGGAAATTTAGATAAACCGGTTTTTGTACAATTATTATCTTACCTTCCCGTCTCTCTGGTTTAGACTACCACGCCAACCCTCTATATCATAACCTCCTACACGTTGGCTATTGCTATATAATCACTAGCTGTCAATAATAATGACAACTTATATAAACCTGTTATAAGCTGTAAAAATCCCAATGTTAGAAGCGCTATTTGTTGAGAAAGGTCTCTCTCAAGACAGACTCTAAACAGTAATATCCACTAAACCTAGCACTTTGTCGAAAAAAAAACAGACAGAGCAGTAATACACCTCCCCAGGACCTATTTACTTAATATTACGTAATAAAATAATATTAATAACACCAACTTTTACTAAACCACCGCCTCCCCAGTTACCGTGGATGGGTGAAGCTAGCAGCATGAACTGTGAAACACAGTGGGAGTGTGGAAACTTCATCACCAGGATCCTGGATCTGGAGGGGACTAATCTGGTGGCGTGTGGTACCAACTATGGTAACCCAGAGGCTATTGTCATGAAACCTGGTAAGTGAGGGACTGTCCACTGTAACAGCCAGGGTAACAGCCAGGGTAACACTGTTACGCTGTAACAGCCAGGGTCTGAGAGGGACGGTAGGTTTAGTGTTTGTAACAGCATGTTACACCTCACTGCATGGACCTCTGATATTCTAGACAGGAGATTTATTATTATTTATACCCAGTGTTCCCTGTTCCTTTATTGGTAAATCAGAGCTCTGTACCCTCAATTATCAGCTATCTGCTACTATTTTGTTGTTTATTTACTCTCAAATGATTCCGTGTAGACCTCTGTAGGACCAGTATTTAGTATAACCTTCTAACCAAGTCACCACACTCCCCCAGCCCCCTGTTCAACACCCTCTCTCTCCTTCAGGTTTAGTAATGTTAGAGAAGATAACAGATCTACCCCGGATCTGCTCCCAGTCCCCCTATTGGAGCAGCACCTACCTCCAGAGTGACAGGAGTATATTTGTGGGAGTTAACGAGGACTCAGAAACATCTGCTATCACTAGATTCGATGTTAGCCAGTTCCTCCAGCTTAGTGCTGATAGAGCAGGTAACAGTCTTAACTACTAAACCAGTCATTAAACCAATCACTAAACCAGTGGTTATTGGTCAATCTATTTTGGTAAATGCACCATAAACGCATCTTCACTGCATATATGGTTAAATCAGCAATATTCAGTAGTGTAAATCATTTATTAAAGCATTTAACTATGTATCGCATAAGAACCTTAAATCTTATAAAAACCTTAAAGTCCTATTTAGTTGGGGTATGTAAAGCTACAACATATTATTTCATCTAGTTCTGGGGGACAGTCACACCCAGTTCAGCAGACTATTTTACTGTGCAAAAACAATTAATCTAACTAATTAACACCTTAATTAACGAGCTGCTAACTTTTCTTCAACTCAATAATTCTTAGAGACATGCAACAGTAATTTCTTAAATTTAAACACGATTTAAGATGTTTGCTGAAACCAGTTTAGATAAATATAAGATAATATCAGACGTATAGTACACGTTTGACTTGTCGCAATAAAGATGTTTGTAGCGACACTAGAATAATTAATCCTATTAATCGTAGTTAATAGGAACTCCTTATTTGGGGTTAAAATCAAGAATTGTTAAATTACAGTATCTGTCTTCCCTCAGTAACGACAAGTGAACTCTGGCTGAACAAAGCTAAGTTCGTCTCCTCGTTTGAACATGGTGACTTTGTCTACTTTGTAATGAGAGAACACAGTGATGATAAGTTCCGGGCTACGATTGGTCGAGTCTGTAAATCTGATCCGGGATACTCGGATGATCAGGTTAGTTTGAAGGTTACTTCTGTGGTTACTGTCGTTGGTAACTCAAGCGGTTTAGATTCAGTTAAAGGAGTATTCTTCTTGATATATTCTGAGAATTGTTAACTTACTCATCATAAGTTCCTCATAATTTCTTGAGGTAAGATAATTTTTCCCAAGAAACTGGTTTTATCCGGTTGTAGGAGCGGCCTTTTGTTTTGCACGTGTTGCCAGCTAACTAGCTAAGCAAAGTGTTGCTTACATCACTAACTTTAGTTCTAATTTATACTTGACTGCATCCGTTTTCATTCAACCCTGCAGTTTACCAACATCTACGAAACATAAGTAAACCGCTTGGCATAAAGAACTATAGTCATACACGCGAAACTTTTCACAAAAATTTACAGGACTTCTTAGTTTCTATTAATATGAACATTACGTTGTCCACTATTCCAGCCCCGGCCCTCTCTATAGAAACAATACCGCCCATTGTTTTTCTGAAGAACTTACCTTCTTTAGTATAGCAGTGTGGTTTTACATTGTTTGCAATGTAAAACCGCTGAGTGTTTGTTATTTTAGTCTTCTATAATGTGGAAGCACGGTGCGATGTGCGCTGCACTTTGAGAAAGTAGGAACAGCGTGTGAATAAGACAACATGGACAGCTTTATGTGAATCTCGTAAATGGTAAATTTAGATCGTTTCGAGGCGAACGGATATAATGGAAGCCGTGAGAAAATAAGAAAAGGGTGTGCCGAGTAACTTTATAATATTAGATCAAATTAGAAGCATTAGATATCATCTGGTCGTTGTGGTTGATGGTATCTTTTCTTGTGCTCTAAAAGACAAAAGAATTACAGCTGATATCAAGGAAACTTCTTCATTTTGGTTCTAACTGAGCCAGATCAATAAGTTACTGTAATATCCCTGTTGTAACATGTGATTGCTCTTCAAGCTAGATCATGTGAAATGTGGCTACTTTTGCACGCGACTGGCTAATTACTAAGCAATTTAAGAGCATTTAAATAACGATTAAGAATGAATTATTGCGTTTTGTCATCCTTGTGCAGACACAATTGGTCAACATATCTGTAAGTGTGTCACGAAATTGGAGTAAGCTTATTACTTATTAGTTATTATCTTGGGGCATTTCCCAACTCAAAAGGTTTTGAATCTGTTTTCCTGAAATGAAAAAGAAAACTTTTTCAAACTTTTTCAAACTTTAAAAACTTCAATAACGTATTATATTCCACAGAGTGAAATAGAGCGACTGTTCCTATCCTTCACCAAGACCCACATAACCTGTAAGATGAGCGTATCTCCACGACAAACCCTGGACTTCTCCGTCATCATCACTGCAACCTTCAACCCTACTACACAACAACTTTACGCAACCTTTACTCAGTATCTTGATGTAGACATTGGAGGGTAAGTTTTAAAGATAGTAATCTTACTCTTCCTGGTTATTTAATGTTATCTCGTTGAGGTCATGGTCTATTTTCACTGTCAAGTTTCTTTAGGTAGATTAAAGTTTTCAGATAAAGTAGATTAAATGTTGTGTGATTTAACCATGATCTGTTTCACACTTTATGACTGATTTAACATTTCAGGTATGCGGTATGTGGGTTTAGTCTGGAGAGTATAGACGCTAGCTTTGACGGGGATTACCTGACCTTTAACGAGGCCGGACTTGAAGTCAGCGAACCTCTTGGTGATAAAATTAACGTGAGTTTTAGTTATTTCAACCTTCTAAAGATCAATTGTTATCTCAAACCATTGTATTGAGCTGAAGAACTGGAATAGGCTCTTCCAACCGAAAGAAGAAAGTAAAAAACCAAATCAAATTTACACTCCAATTTGTCTACCTCCGTAATTCATGAGCGAATAGTAAATGTAATATCATTTTACACAAATTATGCTACTAACAACCTTTATAACAAATAATACTGCATACACCAGTACGTCATCCGTACGTCATATTATATGTAGGTGGCATCCCTCTGCGCATCAAATAATGTCCCCTAGTAAATAATGTCGCATAAAATGGGAGCTTTATCAAAATGTCAACTGGTCAGTAATAACTCTGCTAAAACTCTTTGTTTATTTAACAGATGGTAGAGTAGGAAGAGTTACATTACGGGTCACATACAATAGAAATATCGTAATGTCTGACTTGCGCCTTACCCATAATGTTTCCCTTAAAACTCAAGAAGTTTTCAAGATCTATGTTCAATATTTTGCTCCGGTAAAGGCGATGGTATCATTGAGTTAATTACCTGGTGACTGGTCCGTGCTGTGTAAGTTAGTGTAATCAGATAATCATGTTTCAAGATAATTAAGTCAACTCGAGTACACTTACTTTGCACAGAGAGTTACAAGGATAATTTACACTTCTTGTTCCTGCTGAGCTAATAAAAACTGCCAGGGACCAAACTGCTGGCACTCGTCCAGATATATTCAGACACATAACTTATCCAGTTCATTAAGATTGGACCCCTGCCAGGAACTTCAATCGTACGTGTGATTTTATGTACCTCACACCTCGTGACACAGAATCCACGTGACACAGTTAATCTGGCTAAATAGGTTAAATTTTATAGAGCTCACAATTTTAAAAGAGTTCGTTTTCCCAGACTGCTGTCCATGTGACTGTTCTTATCTCGGGACTAAAGTTTAAAAACTGGTGGTTTCCCTAAAATTATTCGGTTTTTGATGTCAAGTTTCTCAAAATTTGACCGGCTACCCTCTCTGTAATTCCAGTGCTAAGTTTAAATTCCCACGTCACTATGCCTGCATTTTTATTCGGGATATTTCATTGGTGTGATAAGAGTTCACCTTCATATCAAGGTCAACTTATGATAAACTTGAGATTTCTTGGAAAAAATAACAAAAACAGTATTTTTTTTCTCCAGAAGAAATGAAAATCTGCATAATATGACTTTCAATGGATAATACGTTTTACTTAAAATAGGACCTAGGAAGCCCACTAAAAAAGTGTTTGGTTCAAGTCTAGATACCCCAGTCTTTCAGTTTCTGGTATGCATTATATCAGAATTGCTTGTTGATAGGAGAGTCTAACAATCGGTTTGAAATTGTTTCTGGCTTATATTTGAACCGTGGTACCTTTTTGAACTATCAACATGTCTGGAATATTGGTTCTCAAACTCTTTAGACGAAATTATCCTTTTAGGTAACTTTCAACGGACCATCTACAGTGTTAAAGTTACCGTAATAACAGAGGGATGCAACAGTGTAACACGCTCATTGATATTTACATTTGGTTGCCCTATTATTATAGTAATGATAATACAGGTTGTATTGATAGAATCAGTTTGTTTTTAGCAATAGAGGGTCATGTTGTGACTTGTGTACGATAGAGGGCAATGTTTGTACAGCAGTGATTTAGTTTTATGTTTGACCAGGTCCTCCCCCCATTCATACACCTAATCAACTAGATTAGTCCTTGTTTTTGTGATATATACTGTATCACTGCTTCCAATTAATCTATACGTTATACAGAGGAGGGGGACGCTGTTGTCTTGATTACCTGGCAATGATCCTACTTTTCGTCTCGTGACTATATTTTTTTTGGTCTCAGTTTTATCCACGAATACAGCTTGAGTTACTCCAATCTCCTAATTCCTAAACTGAATAGGTACAAGTGGGTCGCAAGATACGTATAATGGGAAACACATAGGAGATAGGAAATGACCGAATAAGCCCGTTGAGAAAAGGAAATCAATTTAAAATCTAATACCAAGATACTTAGATTGGGTTACAAAAGTCTCGAGTCTTCTCTTTGGCCTCATATCAGTTAGTAAGTGTAGAGTGTTCTAAAAGACAAAGTTCTCACAACATGATCTCTGAACCGGGCCTGAAAGAAAGCACCTCATACCTGGTTCAGTGAGCTTGGTCCAGTACACACTGAGCCAGCCTAATACTGGACCAGTCAGGTAGCAGCAGGAGAGAGTATTATTAAGAGCACCGCCTCCCGCTGTAAGCCGCATCTATCCAGTACTCTTGACGCCAGATAATGTGATAGAAATTGGGAGTCACTTTAGAATGAGATCAACGTTTCATCATTGTAGGGGGTATATTACAGAATATAAGTGTTGGTGAGTAATAATACACTTAGAAAGACATTAATATTCATCAGCAGGTCACTATTGTAAGAGAGATATGCCTCTAATGAGGAGAGCCTTGAGGTTGGATGTTATCATGTTATTCGGAATATTAGTAGTCGTATTACTGACCGTGCGGTGAATAATATGCTCAAAACCAATGTTCTGTTTGACATGCAGTATTTTCTTAATTTTCCAGATATCCTGCCTCTCTTCTTCTCTAAATTGAACTCCGTTCAGCGTACAACACCTGTAGTATAAATGTGTAATACGTGTATGTCCAGGGTGTTTATCAAGTTAACCCCTGTTCTGCGCATAGTTCTCAACAATCAAGAACATAATTGTTGAATTAGGATGTTGCCTTTTCTCCCTTTGCTGGGGTATAAAAGTCATGTCAAAGTAACATATGGGAGTGTGTGACGCGCGTTTCGAGTGTGGCTACATGTCACTTGTAACTATGTTTCCTAGTCACATGTTCAGAAACTACAAATCTAATGTTTCCTTAACTCCCTGACGAGTTGTATACACCCTTCACGTGGTGTATTCTACTTGCACGTGCGACAGGACACGCACGTGCGGCTTTAACTGAGCGTAAAACTTGATTATTACTCCAAACCCCTGTAGATCTGTGTGAACAATATTGGAGTTTATATTACTTCAATATTGCTAACACTGTTATGATGAAGATTGTAGGAAATGAGGTGTAGTGCCCATGTGAACAAGTTATGAAGTTGGCTGAGAAGTGGACAATATAATTAAAACAACAGATACTCTCTTCCTAGCAGGCCAGCTGTAGGGCCGGCCCTTGTTTCCTACTTAATTGTATAATGAGACTCAGGTTTAACTGTTACCCGGACTTAGACCAACTTGTATTATAGTATACGACCCAGTGGCGACAACTCAACCATAAAACCCAATCCAGGTTTTCTTTTCCATAGAATATTAAAGATCAATAAATGTATGGGTTATGAGCGTGTGTCATTATCTCATTTTAATTAAGATATTTTAGATCTCATAGTATGCCAGTAAGTTAGAGTTCCGAGACAGTAACTTGTAACTCGTAATCTCAACATTAGCGTATAAATATTTCGCAACAATAGCTGATAGCAGTTCAATTCATTAGTTTTGCAAACTTTGCAACTAACTAATTATAGTGCTTTGTTCTATTGATCTCACTACAATTGATGTGATCATTTTTGTTAATTCAAAGACAATTGCTCCGTGCTCAGCCTACATCATCTAGTATCTACATCATCTACCTCATCTACCTCAAATAGTTCACCTCCAATACCACCAACACTATCTGCGTTCACTTCATCACTCAAGAGTCAAACTCAAAAGTTGATTAAGTTGAAAACTTAGAAATGCTAGGAAGCTGTAAACAGTGTCCTTTGTTCCGGCCGTGTTCCACACAGGTGGTAGTATGAAATGAGCAGGAGAAGCAGGAGAGATAGGAGTGTCCAGAAAGGTGATTAGAACTGGGGAGCCGGAGACAGTGGCTGGGTGTTACTGACTCACAGCAACTGTTACTGAAACTAAGCACCTGCTACTGATACTGACATAATGATAATAACTGACCATCCCTTTATTGTTACAATACTTATGATGGAGTGAGCTGTGTGCAACAAACCCTGAAAACAGTGCAGTTACCATAGACACGAGTAGTTGCCATAGAAATGGTTGCTATGGTGACACAGTGTGACACGGTTTGACTCCCATGGTAACCCTTACACGGAACAATATGTCACACTTTCTCTGCTAATTCTCCCTAACATTTACACGACATTTCACGACAACTTTCTACCAGTTCTCTTGTTATAATTAACACTAAGTAACGCCGGCTCCGCTCTGTGCCCCACTGCTCACCACGTGATTTGTAGCACGTGACCCATTAAGTGATTATCTGGTTCTACACCCACTTTCTCCTCTAATTAGCTACACTTCATAATCCAGGGGAGGTCTCTTATATCTGCTGAGATACTTGATTAAAAACACGGTGAGAGAGTGAGGGCTGGAACCACACCTAGTTTAGTGTGTAATTAGAGAGTTAAGCTCGGAACCATTGAACCAAGGCGGGACGGGATAATATCTAGATCTGTATCTCTGGGAACGGTTAGATACATTAATGTGATTAGGAAGTGGTAGGGAGTGTGTGTTTTGGTAACAGCATGTGAAATATAGTGGGACCCTGGGAAGGGGTGAAATGTGCCTGGAAATTGTTTTCACACAATAATGTTTGGTAATTAGTCATTATTATTGTGGGGGTTACTTGTATCTTGGAGGTAGCTGTGTAGTGTGTAGTACTGGGTCTAACAGACTTATTTGGTATTTAAGCAGACCTGCTGTGTAGATTTCAAATGAAGATAGCATAAACATTAGCTTATGGAGTTGAACCAAGCTTTTTATATCTAGTTTTGTAGTTCAACAATTCTACTTTCATTATTCTTCCTAAGTAAATGTAAAAACCTGATGAAGCGATTGACATAAAATAAGATTTACCTTTACCTAGGAAAATCAGTCCAAATGTTCGAGCATTTTCTAGGAATTTTCCTTGGCAGGATTCGTTGTCATTTTGTGTGTCATTACTAATTAGCATTTTTTCTA